TTTTTTTTACAATCAAACATTATTCATTTTTATAAATCCTGAAAGAGGTTTCCTATAAGAACTTACAAATACACATTTGTAGCCTTGTATAATCTCATAGACTTAATTCATTTTTTTTTTATATCAAAATCTTTTCCCTAGTGAAATTTTGAAAAATTAAACTTGCTTTTTTATTTATAAAATGATTTGATATTTATTTAAAACAATATTTTGACATTCTATTTGTAGAATGTCAAATGAATCAAACAACTTCTTCATCGAGGTGACCAAACTCTAAACTAAAGAGTATGAATAAAAAAAATGAACTATCACCCTCACATCATGACTCTTGAGCCAAGTGTTTTGAATACTTGCATAATGATATATAATGGATTCTTTTGTTCATGGACTCATGAAATGCATCTCTTTATAAAGTCCAAAACATCACACTCGACGAGGTCAAAGTTTATTGATTTTGATTGCTTGCGTTTTAAATGAGAAAATGCTATCTTTGTTATCCCTTTAAAATTCTAAAATACATATATCCTTTGTGGTCCTTTTTTTAGTTGAATATATTTTTTTCGTGAAAAATCACGACTAGGATCACAATACATACTGGGGGCAAATGAAATGTTAATAATCAATAGTGATGAAAAAGCCGTGAGAAAGCCAAAATGAGAATATTAGAAAATTTTAAAAAAATTCAGGGATTATTTTTATTTATTTGTGGGTCCCTTGCACCTTTTTATTCTTTTGCTAACTTTACTGTGTATTTGGGTTGTAAATTTTTTACTGTGAAATGTGAATCTGGTATACGATAAATACCTTTCTTTTTCTTTTTTTTCTCTAAAAAAATAATAAAAAGATATGTTTTGCTTTTAATCCAATTTTTACTGATTTGTTCACTGGTGCTAAAGTTAAGAATACCATACTTTTTTTGGTTACATAATATTTACTAGCAAGGTAGCCTACTTCAGGTAGGACATTTGAGGGGTGATAATATCTTTCTTTTTACATAGCTAGTTTTGTACTATAAAATATATGTTGAGTAGTAAGAGTTTCTAGTAATCGTAATATTACATAGTGATTCCTTAAATCAGCCCTTTTTCCCCTCTAAAAACAAGATATCAAATATATATTATTTCACTTATAAATTGTTAAAGGTCATCGCGATGTTGAGTATGATAATAAATACTAGAAATCATATAAGCGTACCCAATGAATAAAAAATTACTAAAAAGTATATGTTTTTCTAAAAAATTAAGTTTTGGTTAACATGTCATAAAGGGTTAATAGGTAAGGTTCAAAGATAACTTTTAGTGAAAAAATTGAACTACAAAATTAGAAAGAAATTATTTATGAGCAAGAGATGGTTGTGTGGTGTGCATTGGGTAATGTATTATTAGGAATACAAATATTTTTAAGATGTGCATTACAGGTCGGCTAAAAACACGTGAATAGCTAAAGAAAGAAAAGATAGGAGGGGAAAAAAAAGAAAAAAAGAGAGAGGTCAAAAGGAAAGAGAGAAAGAAGAAGAGATTGGTTAGGCTAGCTAGAACCTAATTGAGGCTACTTAACTAGCTAGCCTTGGTTAAGATGGCTGGCTAGCAACCCAACTGGGGTTGCTGATCTAGGTAGCCTTGGTCTAGCTGGCTAACAGCTTAAACGAGATTGCTTCCCATATATACATATATTTTTTGTGTGCCATTAACAAGAATTGTTTGCAACTAGCATCTTATTCTGAAGCACCTCAGCTTGAACCTTGCTAAGGATCTAATTAGAGAATAGAAACTAGCATAGCATGCACAAGAATAAAATCAGGAAAGAGAATTTTTGCGGTTCTTTATGAATAGATAATGACAAAAGTGTAAGTAGACTACACAATATTAAGGAGGAAGATCATTATATAACTAATTAATTGTTAGGATTGTTGTCATTAATGTACAGCAATCATAAAGCAACAACTTTTACAACCTACCCTAAGAAGTAGGGTTGCCATTATCAAAAGGTTACAATAGTAGTTGCACCAACCATTAATAAAAATGGTGCAATCCATGTGCTGCCACCATTTATGCTATAATTTATGGCCTCTTGTCTTACCATTGATGCCTATAAGTAGAGGCATTATTTAAGAGCAAAATGAGAGAGAGTGAGAGTGAAGAGAAAAGAAAAGGAGAGAAAGTGGAGTGGCTGCCAAGGGTAGCACCCCTACTACCTGTGAAGCAATGTGTGAGAGCAATGAGAGTAAAAGTTGAGTGAAGTGATCCTCCTCCTTCATATATGTTGTAACCCTTTCTCTATTTATCTCTAATAATATTTGCTTCTCCCGTGGATATAGGCGGTTTGCCAAACCATATTAAATATTATATGCTAGTGTGCTAAGCTTCCAATGGGCAAAGATCAATACATCACCGGTATAAATTCCCTAACAATTGGTATCAAAGCATATGGTTTAAAGTGGTGTTTGATTTTTTGCTCAAAAATGAAAGTTGTCAAAATTGTGTTTTGACCATACCACTGTGTAGAGGAGGAAGAGATGATCACACTGGTGAAAATAGTGTCATAATTGGATGTCAGAAATGGCATCACGTGTCGACAAGGCGTCTATCCACACGCACAAACACGCCTCTCGTGCGCCATATGTCTTTTTCGCCTAGATGGGCTGACCCGACCTAAATACCAGATGAACCAACCCATATGGATGACTCAGATGGAGGATGACATCATCATGACATAAACATACACAGTTGGCATGACATGTTAGTGCCTAGTCATTGACATGTCATCATAGTAGGACCCACCTGCCACATCATCAGCCACGAGTGGAGTTGAGCCAAGTTAGAGCCAAGCCGCACGCTGAGGGAAAGAATCCAGTGTAGCTGATCCTATATGCAACCGGATTTGAAATCGAATCTGGGTTGTTTATTATGCTAGAATTGTTTTGATCAAATCTTAGCCGTATGAAATGCGATTTGGATGATTTCAAACTTGTTTTCAACTAATTTAATCATTCCGGATGTAATGGTATAGTCTGATCATTGAGATATGGATCAAAAGTGGTGGTGGTGAATTATTAAAGAGAGATTGCCCGATTATGAGGCATCTAAAGGTCATCATGGTGGTCGATAGAGATTAAGAAGAGAAACATCACACATATTTGCCCAATTACATGTGCTAAACTGCTAAGTGGGGAGATTTTTTAGTTGCCTTGAAGGAAGGAAAAATTAGGACACCCTGGACACCCGATCATGTGGACGATTTGAGGTGGAGAGTGGAAATTGATGAAGACCAATCTTGATGAATCTAAACACTAGTAGTCTCGTCAGATGTTGAAGGAGGATGCGACAACCTATAAAAGGTGGAGACACCTTAGAGAAAAGGTGTAAGGGCCATGATATGAGCCCAAGATCAGACCGTCTCATGACAACGGGCGAAGACACCTTAGAGAGAAGGTGTGAGGGCTATTAGATGAGCTCAAGATCAAACTGTCGCATGACGACAAGCGGAGACACCTCAAGAGAAGGTGTGAGGGCCGTGATAGGATCCTCAATTACAGAATACCCTAGAGTTAATGTGATGGCTGGATATGAGTAGATATGTGTATAGATAACTAATGTAATGGCTATGATGAGTATGGAGACAAATGCTGGATTGACTTTCATGGATATCACCCCCATGCTAAAGGTTAATGAGCTATAAGACATTTGCCTTGGACAATAAGTGGGTGACTTGTGGAGCATTAAGACGCGACTGCTAGAAATGAGTAGAGGGCATACGCAGGTTCAGGGAACAAGTTAACTCTTGTCAAGGTGGTGAGCTCGGTAATGGTATTATAATACTCAGAGTATGAAAACAGATATAAATCAACCTTTAATGGGTAGCCCTCATGGTTAAAGGTGGAAAGCTACCTAGACTTTTGAGATTAAGAGCGGAAGAATCACGAAGAAGTAAGACGTGGTTCTTAAGGTGGAATAAAGGGCAGACACAATTCCAAGATAAGTAGACTCTTATAAGAGTGGTAAGCTCATGATCATATTAGAATACTCAAATAATGATTGTCGCACTTGGAAATAAAAATTTATGTTTGAAGGGGTGTTGTAAGCCTTGATGTGAGGCTTGATTAATCATTTTGGATCGAGTATGGTTAATACGCTCGAGGGGGAATGTTATGTCCCAGAGACAAACGTTAACACTCTTTAGATGTGATGTGAGAGACTATTTGGTTAAAATGATCCTTTTGTGTGAGTAAGGGTGTGCTTTGGTGACTCCGGTGATTGAAAGGTTTACAAGTACCTGTAAACTTGGTCATAGACGCTCTCAGAATGGTAAGCTCAGAAGAGCTGCAGAATGCAAGCTTATACTGAAGAAGCAAGAGGACAATTGCCCACATTAATGACAAACACGGTGATTGTTAGAATTGTTGCCATTAATATAAATTGCCCACATTAATGACAAACATGGTGATTGTTAGAATTGTTGCCATTAATATGCAGCAATTATGAAGAAATAACTTTTGTAGCCTACACTAAGAAGTAAGGTTGCCATTATCAAAAGGCTACAATGGTAGTTGCACCAACCATTGATAAAAATAATGCAACCCATATGCTGCCATCATTTGTGCCATAATTTATGGCCACTTGTCTTACCATTGATACCTATAAATAAAAGCATTATTCAAGAGTAAAATGAGAGAGAGTAAGAGTTAAGAGAAGAGAAAAAGAGAGAAAGTGGAGTGGCTGCTAAGGGCAGCACCTCTTGTGCACCTCTTGTGCTTGTGAAGCAGTGTGTAAAAATAATTGGAATAGAGTTTGAATGAAGTGATCCTCCTCCTCCATGTGTGTTATAACCCTTTCTCTATCTATTTCTAATAATATTAGCTTCTCCTGTAGATGTAGATGGTTTGTCGAATCACTATAAATATTATGTCAGTATGCTTAGCTTTCAATGAGTAATTATTAATATATTACCGGTCATAATCCCCAACATTAATAATATCTACGAGGAACTTTATATCTTATTCAAAATTCGTAATTGGAAAAGAATACGCTAATTAACAAATCCAATAGATTAATTATTGATGCAGTGCACTGGCAATTATAGATTCGTGAGGGCGCGCGACAGAATTGTCAATCTAAGTGTGCTTATGTGCCAATTCCAGTATGCACTGGCTGAGTTCCTTAGGCCTGGAAAAGACTGCCATATGATCTCCAGGAATCTCCATAACTTCCTTAACCTCATTTTGTTCAATCATGTAGCGTTGCAAAGACGGAGAAAGCAATATATCCTCAGTACAGACAATATAAACTCGGGGAACGGATCCATATCTGTCTTCAGTGAACTTGTTTGCTTTGGACAGACTTTCAACGAACATTGATCCTGGTCTGTTTAAAAGCGCTTGGAGAGTAAGATCCTGCGATATTTGAAGAAAAGTATCTTAAGAACAAGTACTATATAGTTAATTACTACTGTATGTATGTAATAGCTGAGCGGTTCAAGTTTTAAAATTTGTGTACTGTACCTCAATTGGGGTGAGCTGAAACGGCGTGGATGAAACCACTGCAGTGTCTTGCTCTTCGTCTGTACCGGAAATGCTTTCACTAAACTAACAAATTGGCCAAAAAAACCCGGTTTCGTCGATGTCAGAGATTAAAACACAGTAATGTTCATGCAAGACATTAAAATGAAATGATTGTTATTGTAAAATTCTTTAAATGCACCGTAGCGAGCAAGTAATTAACCAAGTACCTTCTCTAACATATACGATGGCTGGTGCTGAGTATCAGGCAAGATTGCAGTAACAAAAATAGCAAGAGAAATCTTCTCTGGGAACTTCTCCATGGCGAAGGCCAGGTTCAAGCCACCCAAACTATGGCCCACCAACACAACCTTTTCATTTTCAGGTAAGCTGGCCATGAACTCAATCAAGGGCTCGTTATACTGGTCAAAAGTTCGAACTTCTTCGAGTGTTTTTGTGTTCACCCCTGACGCACTCATGTCAAGAGCTGTGATGATGTGGCCAGCAGCCTCTAGCATTGGCTTCACCTTGTACCATACCCAAGCTCCTGCGGAAGAACCGTGTATTAAAACGAGACGGGTACTTGCTTCTGCTTGGTTGTTGATGTCTCCCATTCTTTTTGGTTCGGCTAATTGATAGAACGTAATAATGTAATGTAATAGATTTTTTCTTTGGCTAATTACCAACGTAATAATATTGCAATGGCTTGAAAGTGCCTAACGATGTTAATGCATGGAGGTTTATAAAGAGAGAGTACCATGTATAGAAAAGATGACATTTGAAAATTCCAAGCGGGATCATTTTGACCAAGAAATCCTAGGCGTCTTTGACTTGTCATTCATGCATGCATTCTTGATATACCAACTGAAGGAAAATGCCTTATATCTGGGGGTTATTTCTCTTTGTATTGAAATTGAAGAATGCCAAAAATATATTAAAAGGGAAGCTAGTCTTATTTTCATCGTAGAATAACTTCCGAAAAGATGGCCGCCTAGACTTTTCTTCTTTGACAACGTTCAATAATTCTTCTCACATGGTTACAGACACTTGCCCGACATATCTGGTAGCTAGACCATTGCTTAACTTTCGTTTTTGGCACTTGGTTTTTGCTATGATTAAGATATATGAATACCACTTTTGGGTTGTTTTATGTGCTTCTGTTGATAAATACAAAGACAGGGATCCTCCATCCAAAAGAAGAAAAGGTTCACCTAACTACCATTTTTTTTGAACTTGTAGCTTAAACAGGCAGCTATATATTTATATTTATTGTAAAGAAAATTATAAAATTATTATAATTATATGATTTATATTGTATTAACGTATTATTTTTTAAATGTTCCTAATCAATACTCTCTTATATACTATATATTTATTAGAGTTATAAAGATTTATATATATTATGTTATTTTTTTTATGAAATAAAGAAGTTGTTCTAATAAGCTGAGGTATAAGGAATACCTAGAACTAATATACAGATGTTTATCATAAAACATGTACATTGAACTAACCTGTATAAGAATTTCATGTGGTGAGATTAACTATGTTTGCAAAAAGGCTCATGTGACGGTTTTTAAGTGATCCTTAGACTTGAGATTACTAAGTTATTTTATATAAAGAATATTATGCTTTGATCCTATTATATGCTATCTTAATTAAGGTAATGAAAGGAAAAATATTGGGTGTAACATAAATTATATAAGGTACTTGAGTAATGAAGAGAGAATTTATCATCTTAGGTGAATTAGAAAAAATATTCTATTTGTTCTTATGTGGTATTGACTGAGAAATCCTTGGTCAATGTGGAATAAGATTTGAAAAGAGTTTCAAATGATCAATGACTATTGACATGATCAAATAATTGATGTCTTATCCCAAGTGTAAGAGTGTCAAAGTAATAAATAAGCCGGCAAGACCAGGGTCTAATCATATAAAGGTCAATTATATATATATATACACACACACACACACACAAAGAGTTAAAAAGATCTTTGAGATGTGAGATTAATGTGAGGATTAAACAATAATAAAAATAATTGTCAAGGTTAGAGGATCTACTAATGATTTTGGAAACATGTATAGTATAAACTCTTTTTATTACTTAACTGAAAACCATACACAAAGAAGGTTTTAGTCGAATGATTTATCCTTAATGGTTCCTTATAAATTTTTAACATAATCATATTAATTATCATATTTTAGTAACACCAAACTTTTAAATATTGTTAGAAATTCATGATGCTAACTTATGCTAACAACAAATCAAGTTCCTCTCATAATAACAATGTCAGCCGCAGATTATGAAGGATCAAGCATTTATTATACCAAGTGTTATACAACACGAATCTAGATTAATCATTTAACAAGTAAGGTATTAAGAATTAGTAAGATAAAAAGATAAGATATATTAATAACAAACTTTCTTAGATATAAACATTGAAGTTCATATTGAGTTTATATTATACAAATTCTAACACCATTAGTGAAACTTTTTTACCTTGACATAATTAACTTAGCTAGACATAATGAAGAAGAAGAACATAAATAAATGAGATAAGAATATAATTATGATATAAGTTAACTAAGAGTAGTAAATGAAATGAAAATCATAAACAAGAGAGTAATATAACATGAAAGAAAACTTGAACATTACAAAGAGAGAAAGCAAGAAAATGATATTGATCTGAAAACCAAGATGCCTAAATATATGAAAAATACCTCATTTTATAGGCCAAAAAGAACCATTCATTTGGTAATTAACTATTGAATTAGTGGCCAACTAATGACTTAGTGGATTTGGTGGTTTATGTATGAATTTTCTTTCTAGACGAAATGACATTTCCACAATTCAAATTTGGCAAAGTGGTCTTCATGAAAGTTGTTGGAATTTGTATCAGCTTTCCAACAATAGAAGAATGACCTCATATGGACTTGTAGAATTTGAGATATGGACTAAACACTGAACAGTGTCTGGACAGCAAGATAAATTTGAACTTCTCTTTTCATACTACAATTTGGACTCCAAAATTGCATAATTGAGTCTTAAACTCTTATGAATGTTTTAGGCCTATGTCTTAGCTTTCTATCCATATAAATCAAATTGAAATTTAGGATCTATAGCTTCAGATATGACCAAATGACTGAATGTTGTTCCAGTTTGAATTGAACCAGCATATCTTTTCTAAGCTTAGCCCTTTCTTTATCCTTTTACTTTTAATAGTTATTCATATCAATCAATTCTTTAAATTGTGAGATATGTCTGCATTTAAAATGAGCATTTACCATAAATTAAAGTTATCTTATATTATTAGACTTATTATTATAAAACATGCTTTAGTTAGGAAAGTTAATGATACTTTAAGTGCAATATGATGATATAAAGTCATAATAACCATGTACTTTTAAATACTAATCAACTATTAAATAGAGAACAAAAATATTTAAGATGATATACATACTTCATGCTTTAATGTTAAATCTAAATATTATTAATGAAAGGATATTAATTACACTAAGAAATCGATCACTAAAATATTAAGTCAAACTATTAATGACTTTTATAATATTTGGAGGATCATGACATGTTGTTAAATCATGCACCTGATCTTCAAATATAAATTAATTAATTATTGACTTGTTAATAAATTATTTCTTTAATTCTATTTAATTAAAATTAAAATTTATATTTAAGCCAACATACTAGAAACCTAATGAGTCACACACATTAAGAACTATTAGTTAAAAATTAAAATAGAATGATTTAATTAAGTAAGGACTTGATTAAGTTAATTTTGAAAATTATCTTATACTAATATATAGATATTATTCAAAGAACAAGTTAAGATTTTACCAATTTCTAAGGTTTTTCAAATTTCCCTATATATAGTAAACTATGCCTCTTATTATGTATGATTGTTTGTTAGATAGAAAAACTATGTAAATATTAGAGCTAGCACTATAGACATAACAATTTATCTCTTCTAAATAGGAATTTAGAAGATTTTTTATAGGTAGTTCATGTAAATTATCATAGGAGGTCAGACAATTAGACAGTTTATGGTTTATGATAACCCAACCTTTAAAGAATTATTCAAAGCTGAAGAAGATTAAATCTTCCGGTAATAAATCCCTAAAAACCTCTACTTCTGTCTAACGAGATCATAAGGATTCTTGAATAATTGTGTTTCATTGTTTCCACTACGTGTATGATATTTGGGAAACCTAACACATTGGAGGCTGCTCATTTATTGGGTTAGCACCAAATTGTTTTCGAAATAAAACATAAGGCACCAATTTAGTGCATTAAATTTAGCAAAGAAAATTTATTCCCATTTGGTTCTTTCTCGCATCTATAACATTGTTTAATACCACTGGAATATTTTACCTGTATTTAAACACTAAAATGTCAAAAAAAATACAGATGAAATCATGAATGATAATTAGTCATCGTAAAACATATCATTGGTTTATTTTATTGATCATTCCTTCTATAATATAATCATTGATAAATTTATAAATGACATAAGTGCACCAAATAAAAAACAATTCACTAGCATCATTCTGTCGATAATTCAATAGTGAGCATGGCATAATAGAGACAGAATAAGTTGTTGGTAATTCCATCGGTGATCAAATTCATATTGCCAATGAAATTAACCAGTTGTAGATTCGTATATTATAAGTGGCAAGTCCTATAATTTTTTTGAACTCTCTGAAACTTTTCAAGGGACCTAGTTTGTTGGTAATCTCATTTGTAATTTTCAGTTTCAAAGTCTTGTAATTTTTTTCCAACTCTTTAGAAACTTCTGAGGGACTTATTAAGTAGTTAGTCTGTTTGTGATTCACAATCCTTTGATAATTTTGTTATTATTATATTTATCATTTTTTTAAAATTAAAATATACAAAACATAAAAAAATTAAAAGAAATAAAACAAAAAAAAAATCAAATTTTATTATTAATCTCTTTTAAAAAAACAAAAAAATAAAATTTTATTATTAATCTCTTTTAAAAAAAAATTATTGAATACAATTTATGTAGTGGATAGAAGTTGACTTGAAGGAGGAAGAGAAGGTAGAGGCAGATCTTCACTAGGACTAGGTAGGCAATGAGGTAAACCACATGTACCACTAAGGCTTAACAATAACTCCTCGTACAATCACCTAATTCAAACCATCTCGAACCTAAGTTGGGTTGTCTAAGCTTTAACTTATTCTTGTATAATCTGTTGACCAATCGAAGATCAAGAGCTCAATCCAATTATAAGGAACCAAAAGTCGATGGACTCTAACCAGTCTACATATCCTTAACTATAGTATTTGAGATACTGTAAACCTGATTTCTATTAGATCAACCAGATGATCCAGCCTCTAACCATAAATTTGGATCAAGTTCTAGATGGGTCGAAAGATCATTCCTGTATCTCTCTTGAAATCAAATGTTATATGTTTCATGAAAAAAAATTAAAAAATAATAACTTAAGAAAACAATTATTGAAATCTAACTTACTATGAACTTTTGAGCTCGGCTATCCATGAGTTGTTGCACCGCCTTCTGATGGATTTCATTTCATATATGAGTTTCAGTAAAAAGCTCCATTGATCTTGGATTGTGTCCAAAAACTATAGTCTACAAAAAGAAGATATTGTTAGGTAAACATTAACAACAATTTAAAAATAATATATGTAATTAAACAAAATCTTAC